GACGGCCGGTGCTGGGGGATGGCAGGAGATGCGGGTCCATGCGATGGTAGTAGGAGTTGCTGGAAACTGCAAAACAGTGAGATTAGAAACCACCACCCTCTATCTAACCCCTGCCCTCCCCAGGAGGGATTTTTTGGGACAAATCAGTGAATTTGTCATTTTTATTTTGCATGGAAGGAGGTGACAGCTCTGCCCAAGGGACAAAACTCAGCAGCTCCAGGGCCAGGGGACCGGTAGGACCTGGGAGGCTGCAAATCCTCCAGCAGAGCCCTCCGCCCTTCGGCCCCTCGCAGAAGGGCCGCGGCTCTCGGCTCTCCCCAGACCCCCTCGCACCCACTGGGCTCAGCCGAAGGAACCTGTGGCTAAAACCCAAGGTCAGAGCCTGCAAAGCAGCTCAGGGCTCCCCTGGGGCTGGAAAAGCAAGAAAAAAGGAGGATGAGGAAGGGGGGTAGATCATAACCAGCTCCTCCAAAATTAGCCAGGGGAATTTCCACCATTTAACCTGAGTGCCTTTACCAACAGCTGCGTGGGGGTACACAGGGTGTCTCTGGGTTTGGAGACAGCCTGGGCTCCAGCCCCTCTGCTCCCATGGTCCCTCCTTCGCCGGGAGCCTTTCGCCGGGCCCCTGGGATGCCGGTGTTCGCCGGCAGCCGGGACAACGGCTCCAGCACGCGGGGACAGAGGTCCTGCCCTTCCCGGCACTGCGAGACATCACTGCCTTTAGCTGCTGTAATGGGTTTCTAAAATTAGCTGCACGCTCTGCCCTTGGACTTGAGCAGGACATTTCTCAGTTGTTTAATATCAAAAGTCAAAAAAAAAAAAGAAAAGAAGAAGAGAAAGGAAGCAAAGCACAAAAGCAACCCAGTCAATGCATGTCTAAGTTTATTTTCTCAGTTGTCCCGCAGAACTCAACATCTATTTTAAGTCATTTATGAAGAGTACAAGTGTGAATAGCTGCAGAAGTTTTGCAATTCCAAGATACCACATACAGCTTCTAAAAAAAGCAAATTTAACCTTCCCAACAAAGCCTCAACAAGCATCCCACCCTTCCCTGGATCACGTTTCCAAGCTACTGATTTCAGACAGCAAAAGCTCATCTCCTCCACATCTGAAGTCCATTAGTCTATGAGGAGGTGCCCGGCGTACGGCAGCATCACCCCCCTCGCCGGCATCTCACCCCGCGGGTCCTTCCCTTCCGGACGGGCTCGGTTTACCCTGCACCGAGCAGGACAGGTGCAGGTTGGTCCCTTGGGGTTTATCCCTCCCTTCGATTTATGAGTATTTTACATTTTGCCGCCGGCCACAGCTCCTATAAATAAACCTGGGCTGCCCGTGGCAGATGTGAAGCCTATCGCTGCCTGCACGCTCCGTTAGAGGCCTCGGCTTCCCAGCAGCTTGAATGTGAATAGATCTGAATCTGCAATGAAATATTAATTGGAAGCAACACTATTCTCCTGTCTTCAGAGGGGAATTTTAATTGAGGACCACGCTAACAAGCTACTATCTTCCCGTACCATGCGGTCCCAGCGAGCTGAGGCAAGAACAGAGGGTGCTGGGACCTGCGCTTTTTCATCAGAGCCTCTCCTATCACCTCTGTCTCCCCAAATCAACCCAAATTATCAGCCCGGTGTTCATCACCCAGCAAACCCACCACCAGCAATTGATTGCTTTGACTTGTGGTTTCCTGAAAGGATGAGATGTTGAGCAGCTCAACTACAGGGCAAGCAAAGCCCCGTACGGGGCAGGTGCTGCCTGGCATTAGGTGAAGCCGTTGCCCCCAGAAAGGCAGCCAACGCTCGGCAGAAACATCTCAGCGAGGAGAGGGTCCAGAGCATCCCAGTGAGATCAGTCCTGACCACCAACACCTCCCTTCGTGCCCATTAAAGCCTAATTAGCTGGGCTGTTTTTCAAACCGAGGGCTCCAGTTCAAGCAGAGCATCTGCTGGTGCTCAGCAGCGCGGGGGGAGAAGCGTTGCAGAAGGTCCCCAGAAGCCCTTCAGATGGGGCACAGGGCTGGGCGGCAGCTTCAGCTGACTTGAGAGGCAGCGAGAAGGCAACGCGCTCAGCAACCCCGTCTTCGGGGACGGCTGGTTTTTATCTGCCGCTGTCTCACTTGCTCTCTCAGAGCCCGGCAGAACGGTTTGCCTTCTGATCGTTCAATAAACCGGCGCAAAATAAGAATTCTCAAATATCACGACATTTGAAAATGCAAGTTCAGGATGTTGGGTTTTTTTATCCCCCCTTTTCTGGCTAAATTTAGTCCACCCAGTGCTGCACTGGACTTCAAACGGGATGGAAAGAGAGATTGCATCTGAGAGGAGTACCTCTCGTCTTGTATTTTCCATGTATTTTGGTAAAGACTGAGCTCCCTGGGACATCAGGAGGACCCAGGCACCGCTGCAGCCTCCTCCAGGGAGAGGGAGGGCTGGAAATGCCGTGTCCTGCAAACCGACCCTCCGTTAGCTGGGGCTTTTGATTTCCAAGGGTGGGAGCTGCGGTGGGGATCATTGCCTCCATCCTACGAAGCAGAAAAGCAAAGCTACAGCGAAGGGGCTGGCGGGGAGCGAAGGGACAGATCCTGCTGCGGGATGAGAAGGGAGCCGGTGCCAGCGGGGTCGTGTCCAGCCGTCACTGCCACATGTCACCCGTGTCCCCGTTCTCGTGGAACTTGTGGACGTGGTCGGCGTACCTGGGGAAAGGGCACGGCCGTGTTAACTCACAGCAAGGTCTGAAGCACTTTGGCGGCCGAGCAGGAGCCGCTTAATTT